TAATGTAACTGATCCGCATACATAAAGGAACAAGAGAAAGGAATGGAAGGGGGAAGGGAATTCACATTAATGACCACATATCCTATGCTGTGCTCTCTGCAAATGAGAACTTATTCATATAGCGCATCACATTTTGTAAACTGATTTTATATACATTAAGTCTCAGGTACTCTTTGTCTCATAGGAGAGGTGTAAATATATTTTTGTTTATTTTGTGTGTTTCTGCAATTTTTTAAACAGTACAAGTGATGCTATTTGGAGCCTGAGATTTTCTGGTTCCATAACCAGAAGCTGCTACCTAGCCCTTCTAATGGATGGGAGAGCTAGTTTATTCTTAGACTGTCTAGCTCTGAGCTTGCTCTGAATCTCAAGCTTTTCTATCCACAAAACACTCAGGGGGGTTCAACTATTTTTCTATATATTAGATTTATTGGCACTAACTTGATGACTTCCAAAATGTGCTTTCATGCCCAGGTAGCTTGAATACAAGTCTCTTTCAGTGATCTAGAGCACATCCTACAAACAACACTTTGCTACTTATATAAAGACAATATTGCTGATTTTTCAACACGGTTTTTTTTTTCTTTCTGGCCGTGCCACACAGCTTGTGGGATCTTAGTTCCCCAACCAGGGATTGAACCCGGGCCACAGCAGGGAAAGTGCCGGGTCCTAACCACCAGACCACCAGGGAACTCCCCCAGACAACTTTACTAATTATATTACTCCCTTCTCCCCCAGATGTGGGCAGAAAAGGCATTTTTACTCTCCTTTTACAGGTGAGAAAAAACAAGATCAGAGGTGTTAAGTGCTATGACCCTAGTGCCCCGATCTCCTGTCCCCAGTTTGGGGCTCTCTGCAAGCCCATGCTCCTCCTTTCTCATGACCCTCCCCTCCTCCTCTGACCCTCACCAAAACTACTTTTAATCCTTTTGGAAGAGAAGCCCACCTGCACAATGGTACACATTGCCTTCACACAGTCAGAAGCTTTGGACGGTTCCCCAAGTAAAGCTGGAAATATTAGAAGTAAAATGAAATGAAAGCAAAGTAGCCATCTGACAGAAGTTGCTTGTTCCCTTCTGCAGTTGAAGACCTCAAGTATTATTCCATTGATTTGTTGAACATTCCACATTGGCATATAATCTGGCAAATCTCTGAATTTATACCCCAGATCCCTGCCCAAACTTTACCAAAGAGACAGGGTGGACATAGTGGTTTTTTCTGTATAGATCCTTGTGTTATGGGCGCTGGGATATATGGAAGCAGGGACTGAGCAAAGGACTCGGTGGGCGGGTGGAGAAGGACATGTCCAGATGACGACCTGTTAGCGGCGGTTGTTGTCGTGGTCATCTGTGATAGCAGCAAGAACACAAGCACACTGAAGAGGTGGAGAGAGGAAGCCTCACACTCCTGCCTCTGAGGCAGGACAGGATGGTGTATATGAATGTGAGGAGTCACAGTAGATCTGCAGAGAGTCCAGCTGAGTAGGGGAATATTTGTCTTCCAGCCTTGCCTTTTCTTGAGTACTGGCCCCTGGGAACCAGTGGAGTAATCCTGAACATAGTTACTATATTTCACGCTACAGAATTTTCTGAGTAGATAGCCACTTTTTCAAGAGATATCTTTTTCACATTTTGTTGTTGCCAGTCATAGGCTTAAGTGTGGGTTTCTTTTACTCCTCAGTGGCACTCAAACTTTGACTGATTCCTAATTTATTTGGCTGTGGACTGACAAAAAGCTGTCCCATCAGTGTTCAATGATCAAAAACAGTCCCTTCTTTTTTGACAGATGAAGAAACATCTATACGGAATGCAGAAGGATCGTTGATGAAGGTGTTACAAGCCCGCAAGAAGAACACCACCACTGAGCTGACTATTGAGTCAGAGAGGGCGTCATCAGATAAAAGTGCTGTCAACTTGTCAGGCTTCATGAATGAGCAGCTGGACTTTACGAATAAAAGTGATATTATCAGTACACTAAATGACATACTGCCTTATACCTCAGAGGGAAATCTCGGAGATGTGGAAGCAACATTATTACCATTCATTCAGCTTCTGTTTTCGAATACAAAAGGTGGAGATATGCCGCAGGGCCTTTTGAAAAACAGTACAAGGAGCCCTTCTGTTACACCTGTACCCAACACTTCAACTAATAAAAACAAATTGAGGAAACTCCATTTTGCGGAAAATTTGTTAGCTGCAGAAACTCAAGAAAAAATTGATGAGGTTAAAAAGGAAGAAAAACCTGCCACGCGTACGCGTTCCAACATTTCAAGTGCCACGTTTAAAAGCTACATCTTTCAAAAGAAATTGCAAACTGCCCAACCACAGAAAGACAGCCTCGCAAAGATTGAGAGTACAGAGGAAAGGCTGCTGAGAGTGAACAGGGTCCTCAAGGGCCCAAAGGGCATACAGAAAATGCACCTCAAAGCAGTGGGAGATGAGAGCGTCAGGGGGAAACAGAATGCCCAGCCATCTGAGGCGAACACTGCTGAAGAAAGAAGGCTCAGGAGGCCATCCCCAAGAAAGCTGAAACAGCTTCTCATGGTTCAGAGTCCCAGGAAGCTGGTGGGAAAGTCCTCCAATGCAGAGTCTTCATTCATAAAGGAACACAAGGCAGCAGGCTCCTCTTCCTGGAAACAGTACTTCAAGGGCAGGCCTTCTGCCTCCATCCCTCCAAAATCCCCATCTGACGTTAAAAGCAGATCAAAAGACTTATCCAACACTCTTCATGTTTTAGAGGATGCGAAGGCTAGAACTAGAAACATTAAGGACTTCGAACTAATCTCACATTCTGGAAAAAAATACATCTTCCATAAAATTAGGTCTCATCGGGTCCACAGAAAACCCAAAGGCAAAAGGAGTGGAAAGTTCAGAAAGAAAAGTTCACTCAATAGAATGATGCTTGCAAGCCCTCCGTTCTCTGTACTGAGGAGTCTCATAAATTCCCCTCCACGAGAGGCTGTTTCATCTTCAGGAGAAGTGACTTCTCAGGAAAAGCCTTTTCCAGAATTATTTTCTCTTTCAGACCCTTCTACAGAAAACACTACTTCAGACAACAATACTGCACAAAATGTTTCTGAAGAAATTATTTCTACAGGAAACTCTACTCTGCCAGGAGGAACCGGCCCTGGAAACACTACCCATAGGAACGTGTCCACTGCACATTCTACTGTTGCTGCAGACAACAGTATGCCAACTGTTCAACACACCAACCAAACACGATGGGAGTACCACAACACGGGCACTGAATTATCCTCTAAGCCCACAGGCTTCGCTTTCCCAGGGCTCACATCCCCGGGTGATCAAGTTGAAGCTCAGCTAAACCAGCAGCTACGGTCCCTCATCCCCAACAATGACATGCGAAGGCTCATTTCTCATGTTATCCAGACTTTAAAAATGAACTGCTCGGAGACCCACGTGCAGCTGGCCTGTGCCAACCTCATCTCTAGAACAGGCCTCCTGATGAAGCTTCTCAGCAAGCAGCAAGAAGTAAATGTGTCCGAAGCGGAGGGGGATACGGACCAGTGGAAAGCTGACAACTATATCAGTGAGAGCACAGAGGCCCAGAGTGAGCAGAAAGGGCAGGAGTCAAGTGAGGTGAGGGTAACCCCTGACACATGGGAGCTGGACTTTTACTCAGTTTAGGACACGCCATTAACGTGCCCAAGCAGGAATGCCACGGGCTCCTAGTCTCTATCTTATCTTCAGCCATGAAACGGGCTAGGACAGTGATCTCCCACTTTGCTCATTTAGACAGGTGGCACTATTCCTGGGGCAGACGAGAAAAGGACATAACACAAGATAAATAAATTGTAGATAAATAAATTGTAGAAGAAAATGCTAATGATAAGATTAACAACATTAAATTTGGCTTGTTCTTATAGAAACTACTCGCCTGAAAGGATTGGGTTTTGTAGTAGTTTAAGAATAGTTAGCTAGCGTTTAGAATAGGTTTAAGAATAGTCAGTTTTTATCCCTTCTATCTCCTTGTTTTTAAAAAGTTGTTATTTATTTTTTTAGCTCACAAAAGAAGTTCCAGCATATGGCTATAACAACAGACTCATCTTGGCAATATCCATATCTGCAGTAGTGACGATTTGGGTTACAATTCTCTGTCTCATTGAGGTAAGGACAATACTTAATTCAGATTCAGAACTCACAAACTGAGAATCAAATCCACCTTTCCACCTACTACTACTTGATTCTTCTCTTTAGTCATAAGGACTGACATACACTTTGTTCTTTTCCTGAAAAGTATATTCCTAGGATGTTTTCTTGTGTTTTCTTTTTTTGTTTGTTTTGGCTGCGTTGGGGCTTCATTGTGGTGCACGCGCTTCTCACTGAGGTGGCTTCTCTTGTTGTGGAGTACGGGCTCTTGGCACGTAGGCTCAGGAGTTGTGGCGCAGGGACTTAGTTGCTCTGCAGCATGTGGGACCTTCCCAGACCAGGGATCGAACCCGTGTCCCCTGCACTGGCAGGCGGATTCTTAATCACTGCGCCACCAGGGAAGTCCCCACAGGATTTTTAAAGGAACTCCACTCCCAGGAAATCTCTATGTAATTGGATCCATGATAACAAGCCGTTGGACTATTTTGACAAGTTAAGTTTATAGGAAGGCCAGAGTTGACATGATAGTAAAATTCCTTCAACTCAGAAAACGATGCTGATTTGATGTACTCAGCAGTCACTCTCATTCTACTTTTGATTTCTTTCCTTGTTGGCTGAAATGATGAGAGATATATGATCTCCAAAGTCATGGAGCTATCAGTCACCCTGGGAGAGGTAAAAGGACATGCCTAAACGATAAAAGTGGGATCTTTTCAATTCCTTAGGTTTACTTAGCATCTTTCTTCTCCGGTGTATTAGGAACTGTGTAGATAGGTTCCATTAAACCACTGCAAGTAAAATCCTGCAGCAGGCTACCCTAAAGTATGTCATATTTATAGTAGCCTATTCCTGGAGGTAGCCTGTTTACTTTTTGTTCGGTTACACAATGGTTTATTACTTTTCCCCACAGGCAGTTGCTAACATTAAAGGAGTGGTTTTAATAAGCTGAGAATCTTGATTCTACCCTTCGAATCCAACCTACTTCATTTACCTTTTCTCTTGTAATGGCCTCCCTCCATTCCAGCCAAAGCGGCTCCTCACTATACGCTCGTTACACCATACCCATTCCTACTTTGGTCTGTGCCTTTGCCCATCTAAAATTCCTTTATTTTGCTTTGCCTGTGGAAGTCCTATGAATCTCTGAAAAGCCAACTCAAGTTCAGATACCTGTCTTCGTAAAGCCTTCCCTGAATACTGCAGCCCTCCTGATCCTAGTCCTGTGAGGTTTGTCACCATTTCTTAGGGGCCATAGCAAAGCGGTCCCTCCCCTCAGAACTCACAAAAGTGGTAAGCAGTTTTTTAAAAGGCAGCCCCCCAAGAGAGAAACACCAAAGTTAGCACATCATGGAGCTGAGCAGAGATGCGTAAGGACCAATGGCTTGCGGGCCTATCAGACTTGAATACAACCTGACATGATGTACTAACTTCCAACGAGAAATGTGTCTGTCTGCAGGAGGGTTGGTCAGTAGTGAAAGCATAGAAAAGGTGAGGAGAGACCAGCATGGGCAGTGCCCATCCTCACATTGCCCGAGAGTAGAGATGGCACCTTAGGCAGCATAACTGACGAGTCAGGGCCCCTAGCCAGGCTGTGCCTGTTGAGGAGATGGACGGATCCAGCTACCTCAGGCCTTCCCATTAAATTCTCGATTCAGCTGATTCCTTTTCTAATTCTGTTCTCACCACGTAGCCTCCGATTGTGTGATTGTGCTTTAGTGTGCCACGGAGGCCTGTCCCACAGAAGGCAATTCTCTCATTGTGTAGACACGGATGCCCTGTGTGTAGAACAGATGTATTTCTCATTGTCAAGTAATAATTTGGCATTCTGATTTTTGATCAATCCTGTGATATTGATAAAGTGCGACTGCCACAACAGGAAGACGTGAGTTCTCTCTTGGTGAGGAAGAGTATGATTTCTGAGCCAGGAGGCTGGGGACTGGCATGGGATCAGCTTGCTAGTCATTGGCCATTGCCCAGACTGTACCCTCTGTATCTCCAGGTGGCATATGGCCTCTTGCCTTTTTAGAATTTCGGGAAAGTCCCCTTTTTATTGTTTTTAACTTCTAGGTAGTTTAACCTTACATTTGTTTTGTTTTGTTTTGTTTTGGCCTGCGGGATCTTCGTTCCCCAAGTAGGAATTGAACCTGTACCCTCGGCAGTGAAAGCGAGGAGTCCTAACCGTTATTTCCTCTCCCCACTTATGTGATAAGCTTTTTGAGGACAGGGGCCATGCAGTGTTCTTCCTATGGTAGACAATAATGGGGTTCAACAGAAGAGAGATGAGGCATTATGTCAATTCCACAGTGAGGAATAATGCAGCCAAATATTTATTTGAAGTAGCATAGAGTCCAGCAGTAGACCCATGTGTTCTTAACTTTTGAAATGTCATGTTTCAATATTCCAATCAGTGGAAGAAAATGAATAAATGGTGATAGAATAGCTGCCTAACTCCTTGGGGGTAAATAATAGCAGATCCCCATTTTTCATCTTAAATAAACGTATTTCCATAAATGTGAAGAAAGACCACATAAAGGTATTAGAAGAAAATAAAAGCAATATTTTTATAATCTTACGGTGGGAAAGAGCCTTCAGAGCCTGATGCCACAAGCAGAGCCTTTGATACATTCCACCATCTTGTCTGTGACACCAGCTTAGCACTGATTCATGCCAAGCGTAAGATGAAGAGTTTTCCATATATTGTCTGATTTAATGCCCACAGTCCTGTGAGGATGATATTACTATCCCTCCTTCATAGATGAAGGAGATCAGTGTGAGGGCCCAGTGGCCAAACCAAAAGCAGAAGCCAGTTTCACCCGACTGCAAAGCTTGTGCTCCCTACTCCAACTCTTTTGTCTTGTCTCCTTAGAGACAAAAACACTGGAAAGATTCAAAACCCTGAAATTCAATGAAAGCCAGTATTTCTTTACTATGAAGAGTTGTTTGTTTGTTTGTTTGTTTGGAGGTGGTGGGGTCTGGCCATGCTGTGCAGCTTGCGGGATCTTAGTTCCCTGACCAGGGATTGAACCTCGGGCCACAGCAGTGAAAGAGTCAAACCCTAACCACTGGACCACCAGGGAACTCCCAAGAGTTTTATACGTCAACAAGAAGAAGACAAACAGTCTAGGGGAAAAGGGGGCAAGGGCTGTGAAGAGTAGGAGGTGTGTTGACAGTCTGCCACCATATCTGCCCGTCCTCTCCTCATGGCTCACGTGGGGTGGGTTTTGTTAGCCAGGCCTTTGTCACCTCATGACGTAAAAATCATCTCTAATATTTTCTTCAAGTACTTTTATAATCTGTCTAGAATTTGTTGTATTTCTTTTTTAGTGTGGTTGAGGTAAGGGATGTAACTTTTTCCCCCTACATGAAGATCTAGTTGTTTTCAAATCTTTCACTGAATAGTTTATTCTTTCTTCCCTGGTCTAATATACTCTCTTCATCTGGACTCTATTCTGTGATCCAGTTATCTTGTCCTGTACCACCAGTACCAATATCACACTGCTTAATTCTAGTTGCTCTGTAACATATTTTATATCTGTTAGGGCAAAGTCCTAATCTTTGACCTTCTTTTTCATACATTTCATAACTATTCTTACATATATTCTCTACCAAGTGTCAGCTGGCTAGGTTTTATTTAAAAATTATTTTAGATATAAATGGATTGCATTGAATTTGTAGGTTAATTTGCGGAGAATTGACCTCTTTACAGCATTCTAGGAGGATGGTATCTCATGCCATGTAAGTACTTCTTCTTAATGTCCTTCTGAAAAGTTTTAATATTTTCATCACATAGGTCTTACAAATTTGTGGTTAAGTTTATTCCTAGGTACTTTATGCATTTTTATGGATATAGTAAATGGGATGTTTCTTCTGTTGTTTCGTTAGTTATTTGTGTTATATGGGAAAGCTATTGAGGCTTATATGTTGATCTCTTGATTTTGTATGGAGCCATCTTCCTCATGTTACTTCCAGTAGAATTTCGGTTGATTCTTTTGGTCTTTTTAGGTCCCTCATTTCATATGAAATATGTTTGTCTCTTCCTTTCCAATACTTTGTTTTTCTTACCGTACTGATTAAGACCTCCTCCACAATGATCAATAGTAGCAGTGATCATGGGCATCCTACTCTTGTTCTTGACTTTAAAACAAAGCTTAGGTTTCTGCCAGATACTTTTATTTTCTTTTCCTACTTCTAAGAGTTTGTATTAGGAATTATCTGTTGAACGTTATCTAAAACAGTCAATAAAATATATCGCCGGCTGCATGCAAGACCCTAAGTTAGGTACTGTGGAAGAGTCAAAGGATTTTGAAACAGGGTAGAATTCCTTTCCTTAAAAAAGTTATCATTCTCACTGGGTAGATAAGATTTAAAGTAAAAAGGATTGAATAAGGATTTGGAAATAGTTGTAATGGCTAATCATGATCATGTTTTCTTTCAAAACAGACTTATTCTCACAGAATTGCAAAAGACGAAGATAGAAAAAGCAGCAGAAGGTAAATA